CGCGCAAACTGACATTTTAACTACCTAATAAGACCAAATTAATTGTACCTGCAATTCCATTGTATGTCCGAAATAAACAGTGTCTTTAATTATAGTCTCATTAAATAAAACAAGATTGACAATTGTTTATCAGATATTGGGTTCTGTAGCAGTAGCAAAACGTATTATTGGTAATTCTTACCTCTAACGATTTTCATGCTGAATGTGGCTTAACAAGCGAAGTTAGTGTGTATAGTAAATTAATTTAACTAGCAAAAGAAGCTATGTTCATGCTGTTTGCTGAGAGAAGTACTTACATAATTATAAAATCTAACCTAATCTAGACATAAAAACCAGTTTCAAATGTTATTGAGTCGTTGACAAAACTTTTTCTAGAGAAAAACAATTTCTTGATCAACTTACTAAATTCCAGCCTTCTCCTTGAGCCGACATCGTATGAGGAAAACAAAATAAAGAATAAAAATGCATAATTTATTCCATCTTTTTACACTAATTTTTTTTATAATTTATAAAATTTCCATTGAAAATATTGTATTTCTTATCCTCATTCTTGTCTATCCGCTCAACAACAATTATCTCATAATAAATTTCGCCGTAATATTGAAATGTTTTATTTTATAATCTCACTAGTTTTGCTTTCTTGGGATGGACACATCGGAATTTGTCAAACAAACAAAACATATGTTCATTATCAAACGCCAAGATTTAAATGAATACTTGAAATTAAAATCCGTCTTTTTACAATGAACGACAAATGGCATATCGAACCCTAAAAAATTGCGATAATCAGAATCCGACATACTAATATACAGAGCATTTGGACAACAAAAACTTGTCTCCTTATAATAGTTTTTTATTCGAACATAATAGCGTCTAATGCTAGCAATTTACAAATTTATTCAAAATAAAACTGTCCTCTTGTAGATTAATGAATAGAGTAATTTTGTCATTACAGACTCAATCTTTTCAATGTTAGAATTTTAAATATATGTAGTTTTTTTTATCTACTTCTTCACTTTTTTAACAAATAAAAAAGCTATAAAGTGTTTATTGGATACTTCGTAAATTACCTTGAATTTTGTCTGTTGTTGTTTTAAATTTAATTCATCTATGATACAAATAAAGGCTGGCGAAGGATCTAAAAA